GGTTACCCAGTTGGTTCCATGGCTGAGTGGGGATTAGTCCCAGTCCTGTGCACTTAACTACTACACCATACTGGCTCTCTTTAAATTGTAGATTTATGAGATTTAAACTTTAGATTCTAAGTTTAAATAGCATTTCATCATCTCATGAATATATTATCATTTGCAATCAAATATTTTCTCTTCAGAATTTTTTTTAGTAAGAGTAAGAAACATAACATTTAAATTAATTAATGTTTCCAACATCTAAGTGTGGCTCATCCAAAGAAAGTTACTAAGTTCGTATCCTTAGCTGAACTACTTCCCTGGAGGTAACTTAATCTAGCAATCTCTTTATGCTGAAGGCTTGTGAGCTACTTGAAACCATTTCATATATTCTATTTCAGAAAAGATTTTGCAGCTTCTAATACCATGTTCCACATCAGTAACATGGATTTCCAGTTCAGGTCTTTGGTGGGCAGCAAAATGATTGAAGACAGAGAGAAACACTGGGTCTCTACAGAAAGCTGGAATCTTCAACATATGCAGAATAATCTTGCATCTTCCTACCTGCCCGTCAAAATCTGAAAACTGACTTCTGCAAGGGATGGGATATGTGAACTTGCCTCTGCTACAATAGAATGTTCCTGTAGGAAGTATAAATTATAAAAATAAACCTTCAAATTACTCCCCCTGAACACTCACCACAGGGCCAAAGATCTCTCCTCACTCCAGTAACTACTTTGGGAGTGAATAATCCTTCCTTAGAGATGCATACATGATTCCCCCCACCTCATCTTAACCTTTAACAACATTGTGAGGCAGATTAGGCTGAGATGGTGACTTTCAGTCAGTCCCATGACCTCTGTGGCCAAAAAGGGACTAAACACTTGTCTTCCTAGTTCTACTTTTACACTTGTTATAGCTAGATCAAATGCTACTTTTAATTTCAATTAAAACTGTCACCAGAAGGCATTAAAAAGGACTAACTCTTATTTTGAGATCTTTGCTCGTCAGTACTTTTAATACAAGAAAAGCTAGAGTTTAATTCTTATTCAGTCAAATTCTGTGCATATTAACCAAAATCAAACAAGAATCCCGCCTCAGGAGACTATCACATGCATCATCCCTAATGTGCAATTGTTTTGCCACCAGGTCGGAAAAAGAAGAGGATACAGACTATCACATACAACAACTACCTCCACCCTGGTGCCTTCAAATACATTGGACTTCAACTCCTCTCAACCTTAGCCACCTTAACCAGTGTTCAAGGGGTGTTGGAAGTGGGCAGATCCTACTGTGTTATTAGTTACAATCTAGTCAGATCTGCTGCTGCAACATCACACAAAAATATCATACAGCACCAAAACTAGCAGATACTTTGACAACAATATTTTCAGGCACCCAGTTTACACTATCTTATATAATCAATCTAACATAGGAAGAAAATAAAATAGGAGTACAAATGGCAGGGTGTAAAACATGTGTCAATTCCAGGAAAGCACTGTAACTGTGCTGGCACAAGTAACAGTCAGTGCAACTATGGACAATCACATTAGCTACTATTAGTATGGATATATCGGGTATCACATCTCCTGAAGGCGAAAATTAAAATGGCATTAAGTAAAATCTTAATCTTCTGAAATACAATTATACCTTTTCATTAGACTTTGCTACAGCAACTTTTAAGGATTTTCTTCATGGAAGTAATTATGGTCTCTGCCTTCTAAAGAAGCTCTAACACCAGATTTTCCTGAGGATTCATGTTCTAAGAATGAAGGTAATCCTTCAGGTCCAAGACACACCCTATCAAGATGACATTTATTCTTATAGCATTTTTTTTATTTTATAACTGCTGTGGCAGAAGTGCCTTTAAAAAAAATCATAATCAGTTGCTCAGATTACATTTCAAACAGGAGTGCAATCCCTTACCACTAGTTGATAATCCTAAAGTATCCAAACCCGTCAACATGCACAGCAGTTAAATAAACATACTCAAAGGAAAAATGAGACAATAATTTCACAAATTAACACTTTACTACACAAAGACTGCTCATTTCCAACATGGCATATTATAAAGATTAACAGCTGAATCCTATATATGTTTACACAGTAAAAAAAATCCCAGTATGTTCAATGGGGCTTATTCCCAAATAAGACTGGTATAAGATTACAGCCTAAATTAGCACTAGAGAGTTGCTTGCAAATCTGATGAAATAACTAGAGAGTTTCTATGACAGACTTATTTCAAAGCTGCAGATGTAATCAGTGGCATCTTTAAAAGGAAGTGTCTATACTGGCTGAATATAAATTAAAGATACTTAGAAACAAAGAATCAAATATGGTATGATTTTTACCTGAGGCAGAAAGTTGCTTATACAAAATGTTCAGAATTACAGAATAAGTACTATAGAGAAAAAGAAGATCCTGGCATTTTACCCAGCCGAGGAGTGAAACAGCGGAAAGGATAATTGATAAAAAAACAAACAAAAACACTTCCTTTTTATATTTGAAGAGACCATGAACCTCATGGCTTACACTAAAGGAATGTGATAGCAAATTGATTTATGGAGGGTTTTGGGTTCTATTTTGCTCCTAGATACCCTACAACAGGGGTCCTCAAGCTTTTTCTAAAGGGGGCCAGTTGACAGGTGCCAGCAATGGGTGTGGGCCACCAAGGTGGGGGGAGTGAGGGGGGGCACACATGCACGTGAGGAGGGGGGCACGCGGGGAGAGGTGCCGGCGTGCTCGCAAGGAGATTGTTTTCTCACGAGCAAGCCACGCGTGTGCACCCAGCAAGTGCAAAACATGTGGGGCGGGCCGGATCCAGCCCGTGGGCCTTAGTTTGAGGACCCATGCTCTACAACAACATAGTTCTGGCATGTCATCTTGCTTTGTGAGTTAAAGTATGAGAATAGTATTGATACCTTGCAACTTTCATTTTCTTAACTTTTTAGCACTTGATGTGTATGTTTACATCATTCAACTGGAGGATAAATACACAGTAGCTAGAATTAACTGAAAATAAAGGAATTAACAAGGTTAAATATATATCTGAACTAGTTTGTTTTTTGAAATCTAATTTCTCCCCTAATTTTAGAGTTCTTAATATATAGTTGAATCAGAGGAAGTTGCAAATGTTGAATTATCATGTTTGAAGAAATACAGTATCTTGAACAGCACAGTTCCATGCTATAAAACAAACTGCTTTTGAAACACCCTACAATTTCAAATGCAAGCTTGTCATAGGAAGACTGTTGTTCAGGAAAACTTGAATCCTATTTGAGTTTCAGAACTACTTTTGCAGTTCTTGGGATCCTGATCATAGCTTGCACCTTTCTGGTCTGAAAAAGGTGGACCTCAAGGTATTAGCATCAACTTTTGAGCTGCTGCTTCAGTCTTCAAGCAACAATTTGCCTATTCTACACAAGCATGTTAATTCCCATGATGGCTGCAAATAAACCATACTTTCAACAAATCCTCAGGTTTTGCTCCTAGAACTATCAGTATTTCATAGGCTAATGTATCATGATTCCATAAAGCTGTGCAGGGGAGGATATTTACCAAGTAATAATGATATCAAAGCAAGACATGTAGAAGAAAGAACTTCAGTGAGAAAGTGGTGTGGGTTTTTTGTTTTCCATTTCAACAACAGTAAAAACAAGCATCGTTTTGCCATTAATAGCAGGTTTTCAAAACAAGCTAATTGAAACTTATTCAGATTTTTTTTAATTAGTCATGTGATTTTATGAGTAACTTGGGTATAGCAGATCTGATTTTTCATTTCCCAAGAATGGAACTTCTATTAAATTGCATTCTTAAGAGTGAGAAATCTTTTCTAATCTGAGCATATTTTGAATATGTTGCCTACAGTTACATAAAAGAATCCAAAGAGTGGTACGTATAACTTCTAGACAATCAACAAGCCCGTTCTCATGACAACACTTACGACCTCTGAAGGCTGGAAAGTCTTCCGGAACAGCATCTAGTGCTGTACAACACACTGCATTTGTAGGATAGTATAGTCACATTTATTGACATGCATTGAATAGCTTAAGCATGAACATGATATTCTTTGAATCTTAGCCACAGTTCTGTTATAGGCTGTAAACACGTTACAGGGTGCTTGGACTCCCCTGACTTCCAGAAAATGAGAACAGGTATTTTAATTATTAGGTTCTTACAGTACCTAAGAATTTAGGTTCTTAACAGTACATAGCATTATCAGTGTACATGGGGGATATGGTTCATGAAGAAATGCTGGTTGCATATTTATACCGCAAGAACTCACGGAATCACTTGTGTATGTTCTTAAAAAAAAAAAGATAAAGTAACACATCCCGCCTTTTTGCCAGTGCACTTGAGACTCAATGTTTTTCCTGCCGCCGCCAAGAAATTCGGGATAGAGGTTAAAAGAAGGGGGCAACCCCCTGGTAATGGGGCGGCCAAGGCCTCGCCAGCTATCCCTTCTTTTTCCACTCTCACTTCGCGCTTCTTCTGCAATGTTTTCCTGACCCTTAACATCTCCCCTGGGCGAAGGCAACCAGCACGACCAGAAGGAAAACGCACTGGACAGCGGACAGGCGGATGGCAAGTCGCTCTCCCGCTTCCCCGGCGGGAAATGGCCTTAACGGCTTGGAGGGGAGAGAGGACGACAAGGAAGGAGCAGGTCGCCGCTGTGGCTTCTTCCCGTCACAAAGCAGCGCCGCCGGGGAACCCTCTAGGTGCGGCAACCCAACACAGTAACAATGGAGGGTGGAGAAGAGGAGAAGGCGCAGGCGGACCCAAGCTTAAGGAAGGCAAAGGGGAAACCCGCCAGGGAAGGAAAAAAGGAGAGATACTCCTACTGACTGACTGCTGATTAAGAGGGCCAACGAGAGCGAGTTAATATCGAACGCGGTAGTTACCATAGAAACGAAGGCGGGAAAGACCACGGAGACGCTTCCCCAACCTCCCATTTTGTGCACAGAATACGCCGTCGGGAAGCGCACAAGGAATCCATCTCAGCCCATTTGGTTCCTCACCTGGCACCTGCAGACGATGTCCGCGTCCTGCGCGAGCAGGTCCACCACTTTTCCTTTCCCCTCATCGCCCCATTGTGCTCCCAGGACCACGGTCACTTTATTGCCGGGTTGCCGGGGACCACCCCCGCCATTGGGGATGGCGGCGGACGAGGAGCCACTTTCAGACATGGCTCCCGTAGGCAAAGGTTCCTCTCTTGCTCTTAAGACACATGCGAAAAACAGAATAGGAAGCGGCGCGCCCGACTCTGCCGGCGGCGACTACTTCCCCGCCTTCTCACATAGAAAATACAGTTGCCGCATCCAGCAGCAGCTGTCGTCACCTATTGGTCTCTCGTTGACATCCTTTTTCTACGCTAACCAAAGGACCCGCCCCCTTATCTGCATAGAATGAAAGGGAGACCGCTTCATACCCATTTGTAGAAAGAACTACGTTTCCCAGTGTGCCTTGCGTCCATCTCTGCAGTGTTTCCGTGAAATGCTCGCGCGTAACCTTGTACGCGTCTGTACTGTTGTCGTCTCTCCGGTCTGCAGAGCTTAAGCGCTGCTATGATAGGCTAGTAGGGCACGCGCGCGAGAGGCGTCGGTTGCTAATAGCGGTTTTCGGGCGTCCATTAGGCCATGCCGATGGCGCGCTTTTTGTTCTTGGTTGTGAGGCTTCTGTTGCTTTGCCTGGGGTTGAGTGGCTGCTGGGCCTTGTGGAGGTGCGTGAGAGAAGGATGGTATCGGGGGCTAAGTAGATCCGGCAAGGGTATCGAAGACATGCAGAGGGAAGAGAGTGTAATATGTGCGGGTAGTGTGCAGCTCTCCTAGTGAACCACAGCTGGAATCCACGTGACGAATGAAAGTAAAACATGTGAAGTAAAGCATTGCCATGGCCTGCCTCCTCTCAAGGAATGTTAATTGGTCTAACACAAAAATAGAAGTATCTGGGAGTTATATGTGCTTTTAGATTTCCGGTTTTACAATGTCAGGCAGCAGCAATCAGAAAAAAGAAAATTTCAGTTTTAAGCACCCTGGTTCTAAGTACATCTGTCTTCCTTTATGGAATTGATTCATCTCATATTAGGTCTTTCTTTTCTGATGCCTTTGAATTTCCCTAGCATGATTGTCTTCTGCAGTAAGTCTTGCTTTCTCATGATGTGAGGCTTCAGCTTCAGTTTGTCATGTTTGCATCCAGGGAAAGTTCCAGCTTGATTTGATCTGGAATTCATCTATTTTTCTCTGTTACTGGGTATTCACAAAGCTCTCTTCCAGCATCATGTTTCAAATGCATCAATTTTCTCCCTGACAGCTTTCTTTATTGTCCAGTTTTCACACTCATATATAATGATCAGGAATACAATAGGGTACATAGTCTTGACTTTGGTCTCCACTGAAATGCCTTTACACTTGATGATCTTTCTATTTCTCTTCATTGTTTCCTTCTAAGTCTCAGTCTTCCTCTATATCTTGGCTGCAGTCTCCTTTTGAATTCATGATTAAATAAAAGCTGTGCAAAATCTTTCACAATTTCAGATTCCTCATTGTTAAACAGTAAAGTCTTGTAATTCTTGGTTTTTGTTTTCATAATGTTCAGCTGCAGGCCTGCTTTTGCACTTTCTTTTCTCACTTTCACCAGGAGTCATCTCATTGTTGCTTTCTGCCAGTAATATGACATCATCTGTGCACCTTAAATAATTGATGTGTCTTTCACTAATTTTCATTCCTTCCTCCAAGGTGCCTTATTACATAGTTCCATTTTATTCTCACAACAGCTCTGTGAAATAGGTTAGGCTGAGGGTCTGTGACTGGCCCAAAGTCACCCAGTTGGCTTCATAGCTGACTGGGCACTAGAACCTGGTCTCCCAAGTCCTGAGTCGAATACTCTAACTACCATACCACAATGGCTTTCTATTTATTTCCCAGCAAGCACATCTGGGAGGATGGAATCTATTTTGGATCACATTGATACAGAATGTATGGAACATAATATTCAATCATGTAAAGATATAAGCATGCCTTAGTTTTGTTTTGTATATCTGATGTTATTTGCTTCAACTGCATTGATTTTCTACTGCTGTTTTTAGAGCCAAGCAAATGACAGCTGGGGGCCGGGGTGGGGTGAGCTGGCCAGAGGGGAAAAAGTATTCAGAGATTTTGTGGCTGGTTGGCAAGAGGAGCAGCACTACATACCTAAAAGGTCAATATGACCAAAAGAGTACAAATCGGTATGTGGTGATTTACATATGCAGATATATGTGCTTAATTAGAAATACTCCAAATTTTATAGAGGGCAAAGTAATTAACCTCTTTCTTACTTTCAGGACAGAACTCTGCAATGTCCCAAATTGTGCTTGCTTAAAACTTGCCATCTGCACACTGGGAGTTTTTCTTGGTCTTTCACATGCTGCATGCTGATTGGGGGAAGGCTGGGAGCTATAACACTTTTTTTGTTTGTCTATATTAAAGTTAACACCTTAAATTGGGCTTGGATTTCAATTGATAACCTATGAAGTTGATACAGGATTGGTGTTATATGATCACATCTGCCAGTCCTAGTGAGCAGTGCCTCCAACCCCCAACTCAGCCAACCTATCCAGAAGGATACCACGGTTGATGGTATTGAAAAGCATTGAGAGGTCCATAACAACGAACAGGGATGCACTCCACTATCCTTCTCCGGGCAAAGGTCGTCCCACAGGGTGACCAAGGCAGTTTCTGTCCCAAAGCCAGGCCATGAACCTGACTGGAATGGATCCAGATGGCCGGTCACCACCCACTCAAGCAACTTGCCCAAGAATAGAATATAAGCCACCAGTCTATAATTGGTGACAACTTCTGGTTCCTGGTTTGCCATCTTTAGAAGAGTCTGATAACGGCCTCTTTCAAGGGGGCAGGGACCAGCCTCTCCCTCAGAGAGTCATTTACAACTTCTTCTACCAACCTATCCTTGGCTTTGGTGATAAACCTTGGGATGTGTGCCCACCTAGGTATTTGGTTCAGCATTAGGGCTAGGGAGGGAGGGTTACCATAATCTATAGGAATTCCATCTCTTTCCAGGCATCCTGTCTGTTTGACAGTTAGTTGGGAATGTTTGTACCTTGGGTTGATCAGCAGGGCAGATTAGGGATTTTGCTGGTGTATCTCCCACTTGGCAACCCATCAGTCTCCCTACCTGAGCTTATGGAGATGGTTTGGATGTGGTGTTATAGGGCCTATAGGTGTTACAGGGCCAACAACCTCAGGCTGTTGGCCCTAGGGGACTTCAACTTTCATGCTGAGGGCACTGTATCCAGGGCAGCTCAGGATTTCTGGGTCACCATAGCAATCATGGGGCTGTCTCCCCATGTCACTGGCCCATTTGTTCTCTTGCTTAATTCTTAGCCAGTTGTAAACACCTAATGGATCCAGCTTGGTGAAAATCTGAGCCTGGCTAGAGGATTTTAATAATTCAGGAATGAGAGGAGTAAGATACTTGTTGGGGATTGTGAGTAAATTCAGTTTTCTCTACTCATACACAGTGCTGATTGTTAGATTGTTTTCTTGAGAAACAGATAAGAGGGCCCAGCTCAGGATGAGGAAGGATGGATAAATCCTTGTTTTAGGTTGGTATCCAAAAATTCCCACAGTAAAGCTAATTATTTGGGAGACATAAGATACAGGGTCCTAGCAAGAATGGAAGTTTATGGAATTGATAGTATGGTCAAAAGGGCAATGTGGAAAAAAGGCTATCTGCCTCTTTGGGGTCCCACTGGACATTTTCTACTAGGTACTGGGACAGGATCCAAGGCAAACCATTCAACATCCCAGTAGTCCAAGTCGATGCCCCAACCACTGAACTTCTGAGCCTTCTAAAATGAAAAGTGTAAAGAACTAGAGGAAAACAATAGAATGGGAAAGACTAGAGATCTCTTCAAGAAAATTGGAAATATGAAGGAAACGTTTCGTGCAAAGATGGGCATGATAAAGGACAAAAATGGCAGGGACCTAACAGAGGCAGAAGAGATAAAGAAGAGGTAGCAAGGTTACACAGAAGAACTATACAAGAAAGATCTTAATGCCCCTGATGACCACGATGGGGTGATCACTGACCTTGAGCCAGATATCCTGGAATGTGAAGTCAAATGGGCCCTTGGGATGCCTTAACAACAACAAAGCTATTGGAAGATACAGTATTCCAGCTAAGCTATTCAAAATCCTAAAAGATGTTGCAGTAAAAGTGCTACACTCAATATGCCAGCAAATTTGGAAAACTCAGCAGTGGCCACAGGATTGAAAAACGTCGGTTTACATTCCAACTCCAAAGAAGGGCAATGCCAAAGACTACTACCGCACAATTGTGCTCATTTCACATGCTAGCAAAGTTATGCTCAAAACCCTACAAGCTAGGCTCCAGCAGTATGTGGACCGAGAACTACCAGAAGTACAGGCAGTGTTTCAAAGAGGCAGAGGAACTAGTGATAAAATTGCCAACATACGCTGGATCATGGAAAAAGCTAGGGAATTCCAGAAAAACATCTACCTCTGCTTCATTGACTATGCTAAAGCCTTTGATTGTGTGGATCACAACAAATTGTGGCAAGTTCTTAAAGAGATGGGGGTACCAGACTATCTTATTTGTCTCCTGTGAAACCTGTATGCAGGTCAAGAAGCAACAGTGAGAACTGGACATGAACTACTGATTGGTTCAAAATTGGGAAAGGAGTAGCAAGGCTGTAAGTTGTCCCTCTGGCTATTTAACTTATTTGCACAGCACATCATGCAAAAGGCTGGGCTAGATGAATCACAAGTTGGAATTAAGATTGTTGGGAGATATGCAGAGAATACCACTCTAATGGCAGAAAGTGAAGAGGAACTAAAGAACATCTTCATATGGAGAACACAAAAGTTGGCTTGAAACTCAACATGAAGAAAAGTAAGATCATGACATCCGGCCCTATCACTTCCTGGCAAATAGATGGGGAAGAAATGGAGGTAGTGACAGATTTTATTTTCTTGGGCTCCAAGATCACTGCAGAAGATGACTGCAGCCAAGAAATTAAAAGACACTTGCTCCTTGGGAGGAAAGCTATGGCAAATCTAGACAACATACTAAAAAGTAGAGACATCACCTTGCCGACAAAAGTTTGTATAGTCAAAGTTATGGTTTTCCCATTTGCAATGTATGGCTATGAAAGATGAACCATAAGGAAGGCTGAGCGCCGAAGAATTCTGGTGCTGGAGAAGACTCCTGAGAGTCCCTTGGACTGTAAAGAGATCAGACCAGTCAGTCTTAGAGGAGATCAACCCTGACTGCTCTTTAGAAA